CTTATGTCCCTACTGGACCCATTTCTCAAGCACACACAAAGAACGACTTGCTGGCTGTTCTCTTGCTTTCTTCAGGCATACAAGTTGTGTTAGAGTAAACTGAGTCTAGAGAACTTTTGCTTGTGTTCCCTTGTGACCGCAGACGGCTTATCGCGCTGTAGATTACCTCATATTTCAATCCCAACCTGGTACCAGTCATTGGGCAGAGAGAACCACGTAGGAGGTGGCACTTAGTTCAAAGAGAAGATTCTTTGAGAGGGTGGTGGAAAAGTACCCCCTGGGGAGAGACACAAAGGCAAGACCAGGGTAGTGCCCAACTGGCAAAGTACCCTGTTACCTCCCTCTTGTTGTGTTTCTCTTTGCAAACCCAGTGGCAAGAAGCAGCATCAGATTCTAGGAGAATCTTCCTGGATGAAGATAGGACTACATCTGTGAATGGATCCTCCTGACATCAGAGAAGGCTGGGGATTACGTTCTCACAGCCTTTCACCTGATAGGAGGCCTGCATGGCAACTTCTTTGCAGGTGGATGCCCTCTCCAGCGTGTGTCTGTCCTTTGGCCTCAACTCCTCTAGATTTGGGGTGGGATGGTCACTCTTGACTCCGAAAGCAAGATTAACGAGGTCCTTCAGATAACTGAAGTGGAATTACCTAAGCCAAGATCCATTAGTCCCAAGTGTCTATGCTGACCCCTTCTCTCACTTGATAACTAACCCACAGTGAAGTTTTAGGTCTAGATTGAAATGTATGAGGATTATTTTTACTTGCGTGAAAGTCGTTTCCTCTTCTCCCAACATGTTTCAGACATTATTTCAAGGGAACAGCCGTTTCTGGCTAATCCTTGGTAAATACCCGCGGTAATACCAAAATGTTCAATCAGCTATTGCCGGACAAACTCTTGTTTTCCTCCAAACTATTAAATAGCTTGGGTCATCATTGTGGCTTGTAAGTTTTCCTTCCACCCAGTTAACTGCAGGGTAAATTCTTCCTTGAGGGATTGCTAGGGCAAAGATGAACGTTGCCATGTGTTTGCAGTTGTGCATAAGAGTGTTGTGTCTGTACCTATGTTCTCAGCCCTAATCTTTAAAGCTAGTCCTCCAGTCGGTTGCGATGCGAGCACACTACCATCCATGGTCTAGGGCATTTCTCTGTTTAAGGAGCAGTACGGGTGCCATAAAACTTGCTCTTTGAGACCTGCCTACCTCTTTGCATGTTCCTTTATGGGTTCTGTGTATCCAAAGCTTTTTTTTTATTAAAAAAATTTTTTTTGATGCTTATTTTTGAGACCGAGGGAGACAGCACGAGTGGGGGAGGGGCAGAGAGAGAGGGAGACAGAATCGGAAGCAGGCTCCAGGCTCCGAGCTGTCAGCACAGAGCCCGACACGGGGCTCGAACTCACAAACCGTGAGATAGTGACCTGAGCCGAAGTCGGCCGCTCAACCGACTGAGCCACCCAGGCGCCCCTAAAAAAATTTTCTTAATGTTTGCTTCTTTTTGAGAGAAAGTGTGTGTGAGCGCGGGGAGGTGCAGAGAGAGAGAGGGAGACACAGAATCTGAAGCAGTCTCCAGGCTCGGGGCTGGCAGCACAGAGCCCAGCACAGGGCTTGAACTTGTGAACTGTGAGATCATGACCAGAGCCAGAAGTCGGATGCTTAAGCAGCTGAGCCACTCAGGTGCCCCTAAAGCTCGTTTTTCATACGGGATGGAGGATTTAAGGGAATCGCAACATCTTGACTTTAAGAATAAACTGGAAATCAGTGAGATTGGGGGGAGGGGGAGAATAAACTTCCATATTTCCCCCTGACGCTCTGCCCTCAGTTTAAAGAGGTGTTCTGGGGGAAGGAATTGTTGCTTTGTATGGGGTAGCTGTGTTTGTAGAGAGAGGGTCTTGGGGTGGATGGGGCAGGCCCCTCCCTCCAGGTGAAGTTTGTACTTAATTTGGCAGAACTTGCCTAAGAGCTGCGCAGAAGGGGGAGGCAGTGTGTGCTGAGGTGGCTTGTCCCGTTCTGTGGGGCAGGGCCAGGTTGAGCCAGGTGTCACTCGAGCTAAGCTACATCAAGGAATGTGTCGTGCCAGAAGTTCTTCAGTTTCAAAGGCAACTCTCGCAGCAATATGACCTGTTTACAATGCAGTAGATAGCTTGAGCCCAAACAGGAAAGTTCATGCACGCTGGCATGCGTAGAACACCCAGAAACAAAATCAGTAAGGGGTTTGGTGATCCAGGTACATTTCAAGTCTGGGGAAAGGATGGGTTCGCGAGGTAACTGGTCGTTTGGAAAGGAAGTCTCAGGCCAACATATAAGCTGGGTGCCCTACGGCAAGATAATCTGTAGAACCCCAAGTACCTCATTTGCACAATAGGGATAATTTTTTTTTTTTTTCTTTAATGTTTTATTTCTGAGACAGAGCATGAGCGGGGAAGGGTCAGAGAGAGGGAGACACAGAATCAGAAGTAGGCTCCAGGCTCTGAGCAGTCAGCCCAGAGCCCGACGCGGGGCTCCAACTCACAAACCGTGAGATAATGACCTGAGCCAAAGTCGGAGGTGTAACTCACTGAGCCACCCAGGTGCCCCGAAATGTATGTTTATTTTTGAGACAGAGAGAGACACTGTGAGCAGGGGAGGGTCAGAGAGAGAGACACATCTCCAGGCTCCAGGCTCCGAGCTATCAGCACAGAGACCAACGCGGGGCTCAAATCCATGAACCGTGAGATCATGACCCAAGGTGAAGTTGGATGCTTAACGGACTGAGCCACCCAGACGCCCTCTATTTCTTAACATCAAAAGAAAATTGGAGCATTAGTTAAACTAGGCCAAAATCAAGATAAGGAAGTAAATTTACCCTTCAAAAGTGGACTTCACAATTTTCATAGTTAAGACCTTGCAAACGCGTTCGAAAGAAGCATCAAGCTCTGC